CCCCCCCCCCCCCCCCCTCCCAAGCACACATACTCCAACTGGGCTGTGCAGAGGAGGGGGCAGAGAGGGACAAGGGTTGTCATTTAACTTTGACAAAAAAAAATTACAAAATTTTAAAATAGTGTGCATCAAATTTTGTTATTACTGTGGCATAGAATCCCCCCAAGAGTATCCTCTATCCTGTCTCCTCTGCTTTGAATCAAATCTAGGGGTTTTCTAACTTGTCTCCCACAGAGATCAAAGGGAACACTTCTGTATGCACATAGCAAATAATGGAGTAACACATCCCAGTCACTCTCGTGTGATGATGCACATTCTGAGCTCAAATTTTAAAGTGCCATTACATCTTCTCAAGCCCATTAGTTCCTAAGTAATATGGAGCAATCTTAATATGGTTCAATCCACATAATTACCACAACTTTTAAAATACTCCAGATGTGAATAAAGCAGTAGCCAATCTTTTAGCTTCAATAGTAGACAAGGCTCTAGCAGCTTCAGGGTTTCTGGTGGCAGAATGCACAACAAGTATATATTTCTTCCATTCTTGGAAAGTTTAGTGAGAAGTCCCACAAATATCTACAAACACTTTGGCAAACCTTAATAATGGCCTAAGGCTCCAGTGGGACTTTGCAGGGTTCCTTTGATTTTTTTTATGCTTCTGACATAAGTCACAGCACTTATGGTCATTTTTTACACACTCAAATACGGGAGGCCAAAATAAATTCTGTTTCAGTTTGTCACAGGTGTTTTCTACTTCTCAATGCCCAGCATACTGATAATCAAGCTACTTGGAACAATTCTCCCCTATATTTTTCAGGCACAGCTACCTGCCTGCAAACCTCACCAGGATGCTTCTTCCCTGCTTTAGAAGCCTCCCTACATAGCAAACCACCTTCTACAAAAACAAAAAGCTACCTTTTCCATCCACAGCTCCCCCGGGGACCTGAGCATTGTTCTGAGCTGCAACCTTCACTTGGTCCAGAGAAGGGTCAGCTTGTTGGGCTTACAGTAAAGCCCAGAGATGACTCAGGCACAACAGAATTTTAAAATTCGTCCTCAGAAGACAAGATGCCACTTTCAACAGACAAAGGGCTGATGACAGTTTCCTCCCCTTCCCAGCCTCCCCTGGTGACACAGACAAAGCAGATGTATCAGATAAATACTTTCTTCTGGTCTGAATGATAACATGATAATATGCTTAGAGATGGCTAAAATGTTATCTATTAAAATTTGAGCAGGCAGCAAACTTACCATGACTATAACAACATCCCCTTTAAAATCCTCCCACTCAAAGAGAACTTTAGCCAGGAGCTCCGTCACAGAAAATTAACCAAAGCTAAAATATTTAGACTTTTGCCAGGAAATCTTGTCCTCTTTCCTTAGCCAAGGTGACTTGTGCTGTTGCATCTGCCCATCCTGTACATTCAATGCCATTAACTCAAGCATTAAAGTCTTCACTACCTCGATAAAGGTACGGCCTTTTTTTGTAGGCATATTGTAACATCTGAGACCTTTTTCTGCAGCCATATGAAAGAAGCAGCAATTAGCTAAGAAGCAGGAAGTCACAGCCTCACATTACAGCTAAATTACAGCTAAATTACATTATAACAATGTAATGTTGGGTTAGAGAGATCCTGTCATAATAGCATCCACTACCACCAGATAAAGAAACAGATATTAAGACGCTTCAAGAAAACTTAGAATGCTATCAAACTGCCAGGCAAGAAACCACTTGTCGTTGTAACATCCTGATTTCTTTATTGTTTCATCTTTACAGTCCCCACTTCTTTATTGTTTGTTTGACCTCTGGTTCTTTGTTTCTGTCTGTTACATACTTGAATTTGCTATGCATAAATTAAGGTGGTAGGGTATAAATAGAGAATTTTGTTACATTGCTCAGTAAAATGTTAGTAAGGTGAGTGGTATAGTCAAGCAGGATTTAAGTTTCAGTAAATAAACTGGGGGGAAGGAGAAGAAGCAGAAGGAGAAGAATGACTCATCTCTAAGACACCTCCTAAGATCGCAGCTGCTAAGAATCCCCTGCACAACCAAAACCTACAGCAACCAGAATCCAGACAGACTGACCTTGCCTAACTAACAGGGATAGTCTGCCTGCCTGATAAGGACTGGCAAGCATAGAACTATATGTTTAGCATGTGTTTTCTGCTTGGCAATTGTTAATAAACAGAAGAGAAGGATATTATTGTGTAAGGCTCTTTCACTGGTAAAAGGCCTTTGGAAACCTGCAAAGAGTGTCCCTTCAGCTGTAGGAACTAAATAAAGGTGGATGTTCCTAAGCTGTGTGAGTGACAGAGAATTTTGTGGGGTAACACCTTAAGACTCAATTTTAGTATAATTTAAGAGGAAAATCTCTCCTCTGTAGCCTCCTCTGGGCAAAAGTAGTCTCAGGGCTTTGTTAATCTTTGCTTCAAAACCAGTCACATTTTTTCCCCAAAAGGGTAATTTATTCTAGATCCATCATTTTGATGAGATTGGATCCAAATTTGATTTTAACCAGTCACATGCATATTATGTGCTTGAACTTAATTTTTTCTTCTTGTGTTCTGCAAACCTAGAACATAAAACAGTCATAGCTTCACGTAGTTCAGTCATGTATGATGCTTGAAGCATACATGGATGTGATACCATCACTGAATGTCTGACATCGTTCCTGTAAAATGCTGCTATTGTCACAGCAATAATCAATTGTCCAGACGCGGGAGTCTGCCAGATTGTGTTGGCCAGATCCAAAATGGCAGGATTGATAGGGAGGGCAATTTTGGAATATGGAGAAGCTTAAGTATATCCGTGAGCTCATGGTGGGGTTCGGAAACCTTCTCCATAGCAATTTTAAACGTAGATGCAAATCTCTTGGAGAGCTCATTAAAATGCTCGACCTCATCCGCGACTGAAGATGGAGGTGGTATCACGGCCTTGTCCGGTGAAGACAATGAATTGGCGGTGGGGCAGAGGGGATGTATCAGGAGGTGACTCCTCCATTGGTTGAGGCACTCGAGAGTCTGATTATTGCACCGACCAAGTTGTGTGTGGTGTGACAGAGCTAGCCTGTTTGTGGGGGCTCTGGAGCACACTATGGTGTCTCCTGTATGAACCCCAGGGGCTCCAATATGGCCATTGTGCAGGATGCGGTACTGGAGATGGCATCCAGTGGTGTCCATACCATGGAGGAACATCCCATGGGTCATAGTGGGGTTGTAATATTGCACTGGAGGGCTGCGGTGTGGAGAGAAGGAGGCTTGTACACCTTCTTATTAGTTTAAAACTAATAAGCAAAAGTTCCTCCTCACACAGCGCATAGTCAACCTGTGGAACTCCTTGCCAGAGGAGGCTAGGACTATAACAGAGTTTAAAGAGAAGCTAGATAATTTCATGGAGGTTAGGTCCATGAAAGGCTATTAGCCAGGGGATAGAAATGGTGTCCCTGGTTTCGGTTTGTCAGAGGCTGGAGATGGATGGCATATGAGAAATCGCTTGATCGTTGTCTTTGGTCCACCCCCTCTGGGGCACCTGGCGCTGGCCACTGTCGGCAGACAGGTTACTGGGCTAGATGGACCTTTGGTCTGACCCAGTACAGCCATTCTTATGTTCTTATGTTCCTATTCATTGCTGGAGAATTGCAATGGAACCGGGGACAGGGCATGTGATTTTGTCAGTACTGGCGACACACAGGTGCCAAAAAGCAGTGACCGAGGAGATGTCGTCACTGCTAGGTCAGCGTTTTGCATGTGTGACAATGGTGCTGCAAGGATCAGTGCCGGAGTTCATAGTGTCAGTCTGTACAGTGCCAATGGTACGGATGGAAGTGACTGTTGGTATGTCAGCAGTACTGAATATATGACAGGTGCCACTACTCTGGTAGTGCCGAGGAACAAATGGGTACGGTCGGTGCAGAGGAAGCAGACGGTGCTGTCTGGTGCACCAGCAGCGCCAGTAATGGTGATGGTGCCACCGTAGTTGTCGGTACTGATATAGTTGACGGCACCATGACACGTACCAGGTGTGTGATCTTAGGACGGTGTTTGGACCCTTTGCAGTTGGCACCACCAGTGATTGATGATGATGTAATGCCTGAGGTACCTGGAACATCATAAATACTGACATGGGACCTCTGTGCCAATGGTCTGGATGGAGACGGCTTTCTGGAGGAGGGACGGCAATGAGGCACTTCTCTTTTTTTGGTGCCTTTTTACCCTAAGGAGATCCAGGGGGTGATCATACCTCCATAGGTTGCACTCCCAGATCCGAAGCAGGCTGCGCGTTTTTTTCCACATGGATCAGCTTCAGACGAAGGTCCCTGTCCCTCCGAGTCCTGCTCTGGAATTTGGCACAGTGGGGACAATCTTGGGAGGAATGGTGCTCTCCTAAACATCTGATGCAAGTGTCCATCAGAGACAGGGATTGTCTCTCTGCAGGAGGCACAATGTTTGAAGCCCGGAGAGCCCAGCATGATGAAAAAGTTGGTTTTTTTTTAAATGAACTACAAGTAACTAACTAGATAACTAAGAACAATACTAAGGGACTAATAACTAACTAGTGACTAAGAACTACTTGAAAAGTGTCGAATAAGGCAAAGAACTACAGAGTTCTGTCTCAGCCTGAGGGCAGTTGACAAGGAACTGGAGGGCTCGGGCCACACGTGTGGTGCCTATTGGCACAGCACACGCTAGTTCACGCTGCGCATGTGTGGCCCCACAGGGACTGCTTCAAAAATCTTAGATCTAGGTGCCAGGACAGCACCAAGGCCAACTGTGGAGCATTCATGGGGATCTCTTAAAAAACAATCACATCAGCTAACTCCCTTAGCACCCTCGGATGCATTAGCTCTGTCCTCATGGATTTGTGTGTCCAACTTTTCTAAATAGTTCTTAAATTGTTTTCTCCACCGAGTGCTGCCCACCTCCTTCCAAAATGATTGCTTTGTCTGCATATGCTTTTCTGCTAAAGGGAATGGGTAAAGATTTCAGGATTTCCTCCTTTAAAATATTTCTAAATTCCTAAAACCTTTAATCAATTCTTCAGTAATTTAAATAATTAACCATTTGGGGGGCATACTACTAATTATGCCTAGTTACACAATAAATATGCAGTTTGCAGTATCAGAGAGAGATGCTGAGTGGCTGAGATAAGGGATGTAAAAACCTGTTTAATTGGTTAACTGGTTAAAGGTTATGTTTAACTGGTTAACCAATTAAACAGGGGGGCTGCAACTGGGCTAGAGCGGCCCTCCACTGAAGACTGGGGCTGCTCTGGAGCACTCTTGCCCATAGCACACCCAGGTGTGGACTTTGGCTGCTCTGCTGGGCTGGAATGCCCCCTCTATCCACAGCAGGCCATAAAGGGCTGGATCAGCCCCCCAAGTTAACTGAAACTGGTAAGCATTCATTAAGCGTGTGGTTTACCAGTTAACCATTCATATCCGTAGCTGAGGTGTGTGGGAATGTAGCCCATGATAGATAAAGGAAATCCTGTTTGGGAGACATTTGATATTAGAGTTCATGGGTGGAAAATAAGAGGACAGTCAAGAAAATGGTGAATAGGCTGTGTACAGGAGGACAACAGGCTTGAAAAAGACTGATACAGTGAACCAACCCCTAATAGCTGGGAAAAGAGGAAGATGATGACAAATACATGTAGAAAGAAAGTAATGCTGTAGTGATACCTCAATAATGAATGACATGGCAAGCAGCCTTTGAAACAGTGCCATACATACTATAAATCAGTTTATCTTTCTTATCTGATATAATTACCACCCTCCAAACTGGCTAAGAAATTATTATGAATTAAGTAAAAGATCTTAATTGCACTTTGCCCCTTACATAAAATATAAAAAGTATGTTCAAACTGGAAGACACCTGCGGCTGCAGAGCATGAAGCAGCTCAAATTAGCAATGAAGTTTGGTAGCATTTTGAGTATTTTTCTTACCATATGCCCCACTGTAACCTCTTGCATAACATGCCATCCCACAT